TCAGCAGACCAGGGAGACGCGGAGCAGCTTTTCTCGCCCCGGAGGACGCGGGCGGTGGGACTGCGGCGCACCTGGGCGTCCCGCCGCTCCCATCCTCCAGGGCGAGAAAAACCCCGTTCGTAACTGCGGGTCCGACATAAGTCGGATCCGCGTAATTCGGGGACTGCCTGTAGTTAAATAGTGAGACTATCCTTCTCTAACATAATGTTTTATTTAAAGATTTTGGTCCCTAAATAGCTTTTCAAGTCAAGATCAAATGATCACGATGTTCAAGGAGATCAGCAGCCCTATATTGTTAGGCTGTTGCTAGATTATAGACCTTCAGTGATATTGATGCAGTGCCTGTGAGCAGCAGTAGATGTGTTGGCAGAAGGGTCTTTCCTGATGACATAGTGCTATCCGTACCAGTGCTTAGGTTGGCATAACTTGCATATCATAAGGGGGAAGCTTAGTCACATCCCTGAGTGACCTAAATTATATCAACTTTTGTAGTACGTGCATAGTCTTAGACTGTACCTTGTTCTGACTCGACAGAAATTGAGCTTGGGATGTGGAAAAAAACCAGAGTAACAGAAGTTACAACTGACAGACATACCAGTGTGGAAAAGCACTATGTTGGTGGGAGATGCTGTCCCACCACATAGCTATTGCTCCTTTTTGGGGGTGATCTAATTTATATTAATGAGAGAGCACTGACCCATTAGCATAAAATTGCTATATGGGAGATCTTACAGTCGCACAGCTGCTTTGGTACAGCTGTGCTGCAGTGCAGTAAGCTCTCTAATGGTAATCTGTAGCAGACTAAGACCATGTCTACACTCAAGTCAATTGTAACCATGTTCAGGTAAAATTTCTGCTCTTATGGAGAAACCAGAATTACAAAAACATAGCTACTAAATCATGACTGGTTTGGGGAAAGTGAATAAGGAAAACTTATTTGCTTGTTCCCATAACATACAAACTAGGGGGTCAGCAAATTAAATAGAGGTAGTAGGTTTAAAAGAAACAAAAGAAAGTATTTCTTCACACAATGCACAGTCAACCTGTGGAACTCCTTGCCAGAGGATGTAAAGACCAGGACTTCCAACAGGGTTCAAAAAAGAACTAGATACATTCATGATCGGTCCATCAATGCTTCTTAGTGAGGATGGGTGGGAATGGTGTCCTTAGCCTCTGTCAGAGGCTGGGAGTGAGTGATAAGGGAGGGATCACTTGATGATTACTTGTTCTGTTCGTTCCTGCTGGGGCACCTGGCATTGGCCACTGTGAGAAGACAGGATACTGGGCTGGATTAGATGGACCTATGATCTAACACAGTATGGCCATTATTATGTAACTATTTGGGATGAAAATGGTTAACTGGTTAACCAGTAAGCCTTAACAGATGAGGCTTAGTGGTTCCTGTTAACCGATAGGAGGCTGGAGTAGCTCCCTGCCCACCCCAGGCAAGGGGGCTGCTTCAGTCCTACAGAGTCCATTGCAGGCAGGGGCTGCTCTGACTGGCCGAGCAGCCCCTGTCCAAGGCAGGCCTGCCCGGCCCCCTCATGCAGCTTCCCTGAGGGCTCTATTTTAAACTTTATACTTCAGAGCCCGCATCACGTGTAACTGTAACCATTAGGATTTTTAGCAGTTACATAGTTATGTTTTTAAACTATTTTTTATATCACCGCTAACAAGTGACTATTCTATTTACAGCTTAGATAAATGATCATGAGTTATTACATTTCAGACACTTATAATAAATTCTCTAAATACCAGTGGCTGTACCAACAGGTCAAATACACTTAAATTAGAAAAATAGATTTTGGCTTTGTAACAGGCCAATATCTTATAACAGTTGAAATAGTGTTTTTCTGCAGTTTTAGCAATGATAAAATATTGTAGAACTGTTTACTTTTGTGCAGTGAATGAAGTTCAAATTCTCCGAAGTGGATGGCTATACATATATATTCTAATTATTTTTGTATGTTGCATTCTAGCTCATAGACCAATTAAAACCTGGTGGAAGATTGATATTACCAGTCGGCCCAGCAGGTGGAAACCAGATGCTGGAACAATATGATAAACTAGAAGATGGCAGTGTCAAAATGAAGCCTCTGATGGGAGTGATATACGTGCCTTTAACAGATAAAGAGAAGCAATGGTCCAGGTGGAAGTGATTTTCTGTTCCACTTTCTTCTTCCACACATACACGCATACAAGGTGAAAGGTGTGGATTTTAAGCAGATGGGCTGCCTTTGCTACTGTCACTGCTTTCTGCTCTTCCATACCATTGAAAGTGACCTTCTCTGTATAGTTACATCATTATGAGGAGGTTCTGCCAATTTTTTTGAGTAAAGTTAAAGGCAGATAAAATATTGCATGGGTTGTGCTTTTTCATTTGAACTCATGGCTTCTTGAGGTTTTGTTTTGGTGCTGAAGTGTTATCTCCATTGTTTTGAACGCAGTAGCTCCTGAATTTAAACATCTCATCTAATGTAGCTGTTTTTGCTATATTTACACAGATAGCAAAGATTAAAATATAAAAGGATACTTGAGATGAAATATGAGTTTGCACTGATCTTCATAGAGCTGCTATGTTTTTATCAAGTAGATCTACTTGTAATAGGTAATGGGGGAAAAAGAAAATGTATCAATTACAGTACATTTATTGAAGACTTGATGATTAAGGAAAGTCATTCAGGATCCTTATTGAGTTGGTATAGCTAGTCTTCTAAATTATACTTAATTTCCTGGCCCTAAAAATAATAGTGAAGAGACTATATGCCCTTTCTTTCCCAAACATAAGACAGATGGTGGTTTTATAAATGTTCAAAAGATCCTGTCTTATTCATGCCTTGCTAAAGTTTGTCATGTCATTTGGGCATATTGTATTTTCTGATACAGCAAGCTGCAAGTGTCCATCAGTTCTAAATAAGTCACTTTTAGGAGTAGCGGAATTAATTTTATTGGCTCCCTAATCCAGAAAAGATACAACACAGCTGTCACTCGGGGGGAGGGATCATACCAGGCATTAGTATGCAAATGAATAAGCTAAAAGTCCCCTTTTGCCTCCTGAGTAGAAATATTTGTGAATATATTTGTGAACACATTAGCTTCATTAACTGAAGTACACACGTGCACACTGAGCTTTCCAAATAGGTTGCAAGTTTTGACATTAATTGTTCGATAAATATTTTTTCTCGTTACTATCAGTTATCTATAGCATGTACTGAGTGCTTTGACATCTAGCATTTACTTTATAGAAATGTCAATAATAATAAAGCAATTAGTTTAATCTGAATACAGTTTATTTATTGAAGCCTACTTCAATTTTTGACTGATTATTCCATAGTTGCCACTTACAGTAAAGCACTGTAGAGTGAGTTTAATGAGTTACTATCTAGCAAATAGCTTCTAAAGCTAATTTAACATTAATTCCTTGTCATAGCAAGTACCCAATGCTCTGTTTGCACTGTACTGATGGATTTCCTGCTTTTGTCCTGTAATTTGGAAGTTTCCTTTTTTGACAGCTCCCAGTGTTGGAATTTAAAATTTGGCTGATTGTAAGCTTAAATTACCATCTATTTAAATTAGGATCTCCCTTTTGTTTTATCTTCAGAAGACTTCAGTTATTAGTAATAGTTACATTAATATGAAGAGCAGATTTAGAAGGGGATAATAAGTCATAAGCACTAAATGTTTATATAGCAGATTTGACTTTGTGTTTTATTTAATATATTTCTTGTTTTTGCATTAACTGAGATTTTTAAGAAATCCTATTCAAAATTCACAATGAGGAGTCCTGTGGCACCTAGTCTCTAAGTTGCTACAGGACTCCTCGTTCTTGCACATATAGAATAAAACGGCTACCCTTCTGAGATTCAAAATGAAGTAACCCATAAAGGAGAAACCCATGAGTTTAATTTCTTGCTGAGTGACAGCAAAAGTGACTTTGGGGGACTCAGGATTTCACCCCAGTTGTGTAATATATTTAATTACCTTTTCAGAAAAGGTTAATAATTTTACATCTGTCTCTGGTTAGAGAAATAAGTTGATTGTCAGTACAGTAAAACTCCAATAGTCCAGCATCCAATAATCCGGCACGTCTGATAGTCTGGCATCAAAATGGCAAGAGCCTAGTGAGTGAGCTTCGGCAAAGAATGAGTCACAAGGTAACAGCGGCAGCAGCTGAACTGAGCGAAGAGTAAATAGGGTTAAACTAAAACATTACAGTATACTGTATACAGTATGTACAATAAAAAGGGTTGACACTTTATATACAGTATATACATAACCAGCTTACAGTACCTCCTGATACTCTGGCATATCTGATAATCCAGCACCACCTAGGTCCCATAGGTTCCGGATTATCGGAAGTCTACTGTACTTCAGATGACCTTAAGGAATTTAGGTGCCCAGTTTCCATTCAAATTCAATGAGGTGTGTGTGGGATTTCCTTTAAGCTCCTTACACTACTAAGACTAGGTTTTTCACTCAATAGAGAGGAAGGGCAATCTCCCCAGAAAATGTATAGATTTTTCAGTTTAATAAAAATCCGTGGATTAAGAAACATACACGTACTACATTTTGACTGGTCTAGTAGATGAAAACTGATTTTTATAAAACACTGCCCTTGTGCCAATTGGCTTGCATATGAACACTGTCAGAACACTAGTTAATGAGCTTACAAAGGACAGTGAAAAAGGCATTGTTTCAGGTTTTGTATGCTTCTACTAGGATGTTGCAAGTATATGTGTTCGGTCTAGTATTTATCAATCAAGAAGGGGCAGGTAATTACATCTTAATGAAACTTGCTGAAGATATTGAATTGGAAGGTGCTGTAACCATCATTGAGAACACAAATGCAAAGGGGTAGCGGGGCGGAAAACAGTAACCTGAAACTACGAAAAATGCAATATCTAGGGTGAAATAGTCAAACTTTTTTGATGGGGAGAATACTACAAGCTGTGGCACTTAAAGCTGTAAATAGTTTAGCCATATGTTCAAAACTGCCTATAATTGCACCACTAAATCCCTCTCCTTGCCCTTAAAATTTACTTCTCAGATCCAAAATTAAGCAGCCAGTTGTCTGACTGCTTTAGGAATTAGTATCAACTTCAGAAGAAAACTCAAACTTTAAACTCTAGTCTTGCTGAGGTAAAGCCTTTCATCAGCTGACTTTAAGAAGTTGCATATGCTGTTGTTCCATGCTATGAATCAAAATGCATCCTCTTTGGGATCGGAACACTTTTTTACTTATATGCATGTAGCTATATGTTTTGTGGGCTGGCTTGCGTTAATAGATTGAAATACTGTTGTATTCTGCCAGGAATCACATTAGTATAGTTGCTCTTAATCAAAACGTCTTGTGCCTTTTCTAATATTATTGAGGTAGAGTACACTAAAATAAACTGGGCAAGTATTTTATTCTCTGAAGGTAAAGGCAAACCTACTATTTTGTTATAGTAATAAAACTTCCTTGTGATGATAGTTATGGACAGTATAGTTATGGACAGTTCTATCAGCTTTGACTAGTAGGAAAATTCTGAATTGAAATAAGTGCTTCTTAATTAAAAAAAAAAAAAGAATATTTGGGATCTAGTGATCTTCATTTCATGGTTGGAATATGAGTTCTGTATTTCACTGTTTTTAAACCAAAATTAATAATTGAAACCTTGGTATTTTGGGGTCATCCTATTGGTCAAAACATGATTAGAGAAACTGTTTTGTTACTTTTATTTTAGTCTGAATCTTTATTCCTCCCTGCTTTTAATTTCTCACTCAGAAGATGGAGGCATTCATTATTTGTAGCCCTGGCCTAAGTAGTTTCTTCAGGAATTGATTGTTGCTTTGTGAAATAAGTAGACAAAACATATAGATAGTGCCATATTTTTTCCAATTTTTTTCATCAGCGTGAGATGTGCCCAGCACTGACCAGACACTACAACTAAAGTTTAACTTTGAACTCAGGTTTCACATTTTGCAGCCTTTTGTGCAGGTACCGAGAATAATTGGACCATAGTTTCAAACAAGTCTCTCTCCAGTAAATGACCCAGAGTGTAAGACAGTCACTTCTTCAGACAAAAGGTAGTCATGTATTTTTTTTAAGCTGTTGATAATTTTATTGACTTATCATGCAAGCAAATGATATACTTTAAAGTGAAGGAAAAAGGATCCATATTGCACAATACATCCGTAGTAGTATGAGGTACTGTTGGATGGCTGTTGATTTTCCTTGTGGCATAAATGCTTGAGATTTCTGAAGTTTTGCTGCTGTATTTGGGCACTGCTGCATATTCATTGATTTTAATAGCTAAATTGCAAGAGCAAACTCCTTGGGGAGAAGAATATAACTACATTTATTTTCTTTCTGCAGGGATGAATTGTAAAAGCTACATCATCTTGATCCAAACATAGTGTTACAGTGGACTGCCCATCTCCAGTTCTAATAGCTTTTTGAAAACCAACAGCATTGCAGCTTGTTTTGGATTTTGTTTTACTGTTATCAGCATGGAAAAGCGTGGTGTCTTTATTTTACTTTTTTAGAGGCTTGTGGCAAATCTGGTAAAGAAATGATGGAAAGTTTAAATTTGGGCTGTTTCTTTTTAACATGCCTTTTTTTTTTACTTTCATCTGGTTAAAGAAATGAATTTCTGCAAAAATGCAAAGACCTACTGTTTGTGAACTCTTTAATTTTGATAGCGGGTACTTTTTGAACACTTTATTTCAGCTCCATTGTTTCTTGGTAAAATTGCTTCTGTGCACCTTATAACACTACATGCACAATGGCAGGTTCTCTATGTTCAGATGTCTGCTAGATGTTACTAAGAAAATGAGATGAAGTTCCTTTTTAAAGCTTTTGACACGGTGTCACAGACTAGCATGTAGTAGATACAATCAGCTGCTTTATTACCTTAAGTGGGCATTTGTGAACTTAAACTTCAAGACATCAGAGGTGACAGCTCTTGTTATAAACTCTGTTGTTCAGGTTGGACATAACTGACATAGTTTTTTTTCCATCTGATAAGAAACTTGTAGCTGTGTTATTTTGTAGCTCACTGCTGATTATATAATTTAACATAACACATACTGTGTAAGCTATGTCCTAATCACTGAACAGTTTATGCAGTGCTGCTTTGCCAAATAAAGTTAAAAGCAAAAAAGTTTTTGTGTGCTTCTTGTATGGAATATCAGAATAAGTATGTCAAGTATAACTGCTTGGAATGCAGAACACTGTACTCCAATAAAAGTAACATCCATTTAGTTTAAAAATTAGTTGCTTTACACAAAATCTTTATGGTTTTATAAACTACTTCCGAATACGGGCAGTGATGGAAAAATGTTGGGTTAAAATTTTAGATTAACTTAAATTTTTATAGAAGAGAAAGCTGATAAATCCCAAAACAATGGCCAAATAAATATGTAGTGTGTACACTACACTACAAATATCCATTTTAGAGTAATTGAAAGACTTTTATTAACATTCTTGAGGCCCAGGTTTTATGTTCTGTTTACTGCAGTTAATAACATCAGGAAAATCCAAAGTAAGTTTAAAAACTATATAGCTCTTGGATTGCTTTAGGGTGCATGTGTTCTTCCTGCAACTCCTGATCACTAGCGCCTGAGTGATAAAATATATATTGAGCTCTTTTGCCTTTATTACAAAAAAGCAGAGTGAGATGAATAAGAACCTGTGTGATTTGGTTCAAAGGGGCCATTGTTTCTTTTTGAAAAGTATTCAGCCTGCCTGTGTTAAAACAGTCTTTTTTCTGTGATGGAATTAATCATTAAACGTATGAAGGGTATTGTTGAAAGGCTTCTGAAATACGAAAGAACAAGTAAATTACCTTCATGCAAACGTCAGTCCCATTCTATTCCTTGGTAAAATATATTTGTTGTATCATTTATTTAAAAACTTAGGAGGTTAATATCACCTCCCCTTGATAATTGAATTGATGTTTGGAAGCACATACTCAACAATCATTCCGTAAGCAGACTAATGTCAAATTAAGGAAGTCAGTTAATTACTGGGTACTTGTTGTAGTAACTACAATGAAAAAAATTGTTTTGCATTGAATGCCAAATTTGTGCTAGTTGACAATCAACTGTGATTCTATTCTTAGTGTTAAAGTGATATTTGAAATGATACATGCAGAAGGATAAAATAGCTAAACATAACACGAGCTTAACCCTAATATTTAACATTTTGGTCACTGTCATTCTTAATTAAGTTCTCAACTTTGTCTCTTACTAATTTAATCTGTTAAATGAAGAGTAAGATCTGAAATGTATCCAAATTCTTCTCTCCAGATGAAATGTAACAAGGTAGCCTATGTTGGATGATGTGGTAGATATGATCTGAAATTTTCTGTGTATGAGATGCACATGGCAGGAGCTACAAAATTTCTTGGACTAAGGCTGTTGGAGTAATATGCCTGTTGGACAGGAAGGGTTGATGCTTTCAACATTACTTTCATATAAATATAAGCATAATATTAAGAGTCTGAAAGTTGAGATTCCTCTGTGGGGATTGAAGCAATGATTCTTGTCTAAAGGCTTCTTGGAAAAGAGAAGCTGTAATGCATAGGATTTGAAGAGCTTGAATAAATGTGGTGTAAACTCTCTGAATTGCTACTTTGCCAAATAAAATTAAGAGTGAGAGGAACCCATATAAGTATTTTTTTCTTTTCAAGTAGTTTTACATCAAGCTGTCACTTTCTCTTTGGACACAAAAATGATTAGAAATATATAGTTCATTTACATATTTATAGGTTTTCATTTAGAGAATGACCAGAAATTAATTACTGACCTAATTTGGCTATGCTCAGATAGTTGAGATAGTAAGCTTAATGATTTCACATCAGCTTTATATTGGTGTTAATTCCTTGTACTGATTTATGTTGATTGAAATTCATACTCGTGTCAATCAGTTCATAATTAGGGCTCATAGACTAGTCCTAATTATGTTGTGGGATTCAGTGCCATTAGGAGATTTTGTGCTAGTTTGGCTTCTGAATTACCAAGGTAATGTCAGTACTGGCTAGAGTAAGGCATTATCCAGGCATGAGCTCAGCTAATTCCTCGCCACCCATCATTTTATCACATACCTGCAGTTCTCCCTAGTTACACCAGTTATGTTCTCTTCAACAGAAATTTCTAGTGTTGCAGGTGATGGGAGAGCAAGTCAGAAAAATAAAGAGCCTTCATCCGTGGTCTGCTCTGTGAAAGGCTAGTGTGGGTAGCCCTCTCATGCTCTTGGCAGTGTTCTAATAAGATTCCTGACAGGAGTTTAATATAAGGGATTTCAGTTTCTAAGCCATTGAAATCAGTGGAGATATTTCTGTGAATATATGAATGTCACGCTTAAAGTATCATTTTTAAAAGTAGCAGTATTTGCAAATCTGGTTTAATTCTGCACTTTGATTTTAAAAATTGAGCAGAATAGCTGTTGCATATGAGTTACAGCAGTGGTCTCCAACCTTTTAAGGTATGAGATCACTTTTTGAATTTAAGTGCAATCTAGGATCTACCTCAAACCCAAATACCTTTGCCCCACCTCCTACATGCCCCTTATCCAAAGCCCTGCCCCTGCTCACTCCATCCTTCCTTCCTCCCTTTCATCAGATGGGGCAGAGAGTTGGGGCATAGGCTTTGGTTTTGGGCTAAGGATTTGGAGTGTGGGTAGGGCACTGAGCTGAGCCTGGGGCAGGGGTTGGGGTGCCATAGGTGGTTCAGGGTAAGGCTTGGTAAGGAAATCTGGGTTCTGGTGGGCTCAGAACTAAGGCAGGGGCTTGGAGTACAGGGGGGGGTTTATGACTGGGACAGGGGTTCAGGCTCCAGCTGGATACTACTTACCACAGATGGCTCCTGTGGGGTGGTACAGTGTGGCTGTGGCAGGCTCACCCCTGCCCTGGCCCTGCACCACTACCAAAAGCAGCCAGTAACTCCCGCCATCCCAAACTCCGTTGTGCCCCCCTTCCCTGTTCTGTGGCGATAGAATACAGGGTGGGAGAGGGGAACAGCTTGAAGGCAAAGGGCAGGAGATGCACAGCAGTGGAGGAAGGGGCAGCGGACGTGCCAGCCCTTGACAGCTTCTTGGCCAAACCAGTCAAGATCACCTGTCAGAGGCTCCAAGTTCTACTCGTAGATCCTGATCTACTGGTTGGACACCACTGAGTTATATATAGTTTTGGCAAAGTCTTTTAGAAAATTGCTTCTCAAGTCCAGGATAACATTTCTGGCTAAAAGAACTATTACCCCAGCCCCAAATAACTAGCTGGTAAGGGCTATGACTAGGATGGCGAAGCCCTGGATTCGAGAGCCTAGCTGATTCAATTCATTGATTTGAATTTGGGACTCTCAGAACCCATGTGAGTCCTCCATCAGTCAGGTTCTTGGCTATCCTAGTTTCTTTCCTATTGGAGCTATTCTACTTTGTATAAATTAAATATTGTACCGGAGTAGGAACTTGATTGAGGCTCCTATATCTTGGGTCAGTGGCCCGACAGCTGGTCTATAAAATGTTTCTTGTCCAA